AGCTAGACTCAATGAGCAAAGTTCAGTTTATAATACTGCATCTGCCCTGATGAGTTCATTATTTAAATAAACATTTCAATGGATTCATTGATGGAAAAGCTTGTAATGTTGTTTGAAAATGGTTCTACAGCTACTACTGACTCATTCTGCTAAAGATGGAAGTCAACCTCACTGTGATTAGCTTCTCTATATAACATGATGGAGAGTAATTCACAAGGAGGAAGAGTGCATATTGGGAATAAATTTCATGCAGAAACGGATGTGAGGTTTAGGTTTACTTCACACAATTTTAAGATCTATGACCAGAAATTACAACACCAAATATTGAACTTCCAGGTACAACAAGAAGTGAAATACTGATACCAGGACTTACTAGGAACAAATTTTCTTCTAGTTATGGAGCACTTGTCCTGAGGGATTGTTGGTTGGCCAAGAACACAACAAACCATGAAAAGTGAGTCAATTCTAGACAGATTCAAAAGATGTGAAGCTGTACAAGTCACATTTAGAAAAATATAGGTGTAGAAAGTCCAATATCAAATCTCCAAGTACAAGGAATTGTCACCTCATTTGCAGGATCTGAGAAAGCTTTACAATTAATCTCACAAACTGCATGACATGCTCTTAGAACTTAAAGTTACTTTTTCCAATGGACTTCATGAGTTATACCATACAAATCTTTTTTGAGATTGATACTGGAGTTGTAGTTTCAATACATTAGTTGAACAGTTGACTCCAAGTTTCCAAACAGGCTGAGGCTCTCAAAGGAATGGAAGTCATGAAACAAGGAGTAATAGAAATGAGTACAAGTCCATAGGCCTCACCTATTGTACATATGAAGGATGAGTCCACAAGATTCAGATAGGACTGCTGAAAGATAATAAATATAACATATTTTGGGACCAATTCATCCATCTCGGCTGTTCCATCCTCTAAACTAAATTAAAATGATTAAAAGAAAATAAAAAAATGTTAAACCCAGCCCTTTTCATTCATATACTTATCAAGCTTTTTCTAAAACTCACTTAAATTTACTGCCTCTACAACATCTGAAGGCAACCCATTCCAAAGGACAACCACCCTGTTAGAAAAACACACTGTCTTAGCTGAAGATGACTATTACCTTGCCAAAATTTATACTTGTGTCCCCTAGTCCTACTATTATCATTGTTAAATATAAAAAATATGATATATCAACTCCCTTTACAATATTAAACACCTCAATCAGATCCTCCCTAACTCTTCTTTTTTCAAGAGAAAACAATTTGAGAGATTTCAGCATCTCATAGTATGACAACCCCTCCATCCCAGGCACCATTCTAGTAACCCTTTCCAACAATTCAGTGTCCTTCCTAAGGTAAGTAGCCCAAGACTGAACACAATATTCCAAATGTGGGCTAACCAGTGATCTGTATAATGACAGTATATTCTCTTTAGACTTGTATTCAATATTTCTATAGATACAACATAAAATCCTATTTGCCCTACCACTAACAACAGCACATTGCTTGGATGGCTTTAGAGACTGATCAACTATTACTCTAAGATCTCTTTTCTTCATAACACTATTAAGGTTATTCCCATCCAAATTATGATAACCCACATGCATTTATTATATTTAAAACTCATCTGCCCAACTCACTAAATCCTTTTGTAAATCAGCAGCATCCTGTTCATAGCTAGCAACACCCAAGACCTTAATATCATGTGCAAATTTAAGTAATTTATTGACTATCCCTTCACCTATGTCATTGG